ACCCTATAGTTTTGTAGCACTGCCGTTAAATAATTAGACATCTAAGTCAAAAGCATAAACAAAAAGCATGCTAGGATAGAAAACTAATTAGAGGACTGAAGAGTGTCATCACAGAGCTTTTAAACACCTCTGAGGGGTAAAGTTTTAAGCCTGATTATGATAAGCTGCAGGTCACAAGAAGGATGCAGTTATCTTGGAACATCAGCGTAGTAGTAAACAACAGGCCTTCTTATAACAAAGGGATAGGAAACAAACTGATGATCTCTGATAATGAGATTCCTTACAGGTGTTTCTACCTTTAGTGTAGCTCTTCATTAGTGTATCCTCATATGCATTTTACAAGAGAAAACCCAAGTAAATATCTCACCAAAATGGGCCCCGGTTGGTTAGAGCATCATCCTGATACACCAAGGTTGTGTGTTCGATCCCTGGTCAGAGCACATACAAGAAATCAACTAGTGAACGCATAAATAAGTAGAACAATAAATCGATGCTTTTCTCTCTCAAATCAATAAATTAAAAGAAATCTCACCAAAATGTTCTGTTAGGAAAAATATATTGTGACCTACTTAAGAGTTCTTTAAAGCGAGGGGAGAAAATAATTGCCTATTGCTTGCAAGTGTAAAAAAACATAGAGGAAGATCAAGATAAAATACTTTTACAGTGCTGGCACAGAGTAAGATTTATATACATTTAATTGAGTTTGCCTTGAATAATCCAAGAGGAAAAGAAACAGGGACAATATTTAGCTCTCAGTCCAGATCTGCTAGGCCGGTACCCACCAGGATGGATTTTGATCCATTTACATCTATCTAACTTTGACTGATATTTAGCTAATGACAATTTTTTTTTTTTTTATCCTCACCCGAGGACATTTTTCCATTTTTTGTTCAGGTAGAGTGGGAGGGAGAGAGAGGAACAGAGAAAGAGAGAGAAACATCGATGTGAAAGGGACACATCGAGTGGCTGCCACCCGCACAACCGACCAGGGCCGGGGACAAACTGCAACCGAGGTACGTGCCTTTAGCGGGAACCGAACCCGGGTCTCTTAGGACCGCAGGCCGACGCTCTAACCGCTGAACCAAACCGGCCAGGGCAGCTAATGACAATTTAAAAGCACATTTCTAACCACAGGGCATGGCATGTAGAGGGATGAATTTCTGGAGAAACAGAATTGGAACTGACCAGCTTGGTATCCTTATGCAATAAGAATATGTTACACTTAATTATACATCATTAGCAACATAGAAGGAAAAAAAAAACCCTAACAACCAAGGTGAACCTTATATTTTTCTCTAAGAAGAAGCAATTCTTGGCAGAAAGCAGAAAAGGGAGCTGTGCTATTCCTCTCTGCCTAGTAGATAAACATGCAGGCTTTGTAGCTACACTGGTTGACTTCAAATCCTGACTCTGCCTTGTCTTCTCTCTCCTGATGAGTAAGAAGGGGCTCAGAATAGTACCCTCAGGGATGATACGTAAGGGCTAAATCATGTACATGTAAAGTGCTTACGCTGTATGTGGCACGTGAGTCCTTATTACAACTTAGCTTTTTTGTTACTACTGGTTATCAGTAAGTCTGTCATTAAGCAAAATTGATTTGGCATCCTCAGAATTCCTGATCAAGCCTTGGGACAGATTAACTTCCCCTTTTCTACTCTCACTAATAACACTATAGTACTTCAAATTATTAAATGCTGTTGTGCAATAATTGGCATGAGACATGTGTATTAATTTTCTAAGAATTTTTTATGCAATAAGTTGTTGTAGTTCTATTAGAGGACCAAGTCCTGTGTTTATGTAATAAACTGTAACTGTAAGTATAGGAAGTCAGAATGGTTAGAAACTCAAGAAAAAGGGTTCAAGGCCTCCAACAGCTGTTCATATACTAAGCTGTTCTTGACAGTTCTCAAAATTGACTCTGAAAGCATTAAATAGATATATTCTCTTGCATACAATTTATCATTATTTTATAATTATTAAGAATTATTTTATCACTATTAAGAAAGTTTATCATTATTAAGAAATATACATTATTAATTATAATTTATAAAAATACAAAAAATATTTATTGAGTATTGAGGTAGCATCAATATTCATTCTTCTCCTTACTCTCTTCCATTCTTTTATTCCTACCTTCCTCTTCCTTTCCTCTCTTTTATGGACCTGTGTGAAAATTTCCCTGGGATAAATATTCAGGAGAATTGCTTTGTACATTTTACATATTAATCCACCTGCTGATTTTAGACATTAAAAATATCTCCTCTGCCCTGGCTTGTTTGGCTCAGCTGTTAGAGTGTGGCCCACAGACCAAAGGGTTTCAGGTTCAATTCCCGGTCAAGGGCATGTACCTGGGTTGCAGGTTTGATCCGGTCAGTGTCGTGTGGGAGGCAGCCAATAGATGTGTCTCTCTCACATCGATGTTTCTCTCTCTCTCCCTCCTTCTAATTTACCATTTTTCTGGATATAGTCAATATGCTAGCATATATGTACTTTTTCTTCTTCTTCTTCTTTTTTTTTAACTCATCTTTATTGTTGAATGTATTACAGATGTTTCTCCCTTTTTCCCCCATTGACCCCCTTCTCCCCAATCCTGCCCCCTCCTGCCTTCCTCACACTTTGTCGGTGTCCATTGGTTGTGCATATATGCATAGAAGTTCTTTGGTTTATCTCATCCGGCCCTCCCTCCCCACTTCCCTTTGAGGTTCATCAGTTTAACAACTAATTTTGTACTTTTTATTCTTAGCTGAACTTGTACCTAACAATTTTTTCTGAAGCTATTCATTTCTGCCTGTTGCTTTTTCGACTGTGACTTTTAACCTGACATTTTCAGCCTCAAAGAGTTTATCCGTCTTTGATGCGGAGGGGAAAAGGAGAAAAATGATTACTTTAGATTTTTGTAGTTCTATTTCCCATTTCTCTCATCTTTTTCTCCTTTATGGCTGTTTTCTCCCTAGAGATACATAATCAGCTCATTAAAAAAACACTTGACCTTTAGAAACTTAGTTATAAAAAAAATGAAGTTGACAAGTGCAAATTCAAGGTTTTAGAACTCTTACTTAATAATGAACTACTCTTAAATCAGACTAGTAACGGAGGGTGTTACTGAACTTCAAATGAAGGATACAGTTTAGTTTTATGAGTTGGCTTAACTAGTGAAGCAGTAGTGACCATGGAGTTTTCATTCATGCTGGCAAAATGGTAATCCTGTTTAGAAACTTTTTTTAAATCTCCAAAACAATAGATTTTTCATATAACTGAGTAAATAACATTTGATTTAAGTGAGACTCTCTATAAGTACCGGAAATCATTTTGCTGAATTTCCACATGAAATATATGTTGTGCCTAACATGAACATTGAAACATATTTTCATAACATTATCTAACATAATATACCCACTGGTTATTTATTTATTTATTTATTTATTTATTTATTTATTTATTTATTTTTCCTCACCTGAGGACATTTTTCCATTTTTTGTTCAGGTAGAGTGGGAGGGAGAGAGAGGAACAGAGAGAGAGAGAAACATTGATGTGAAAGGAACACATCGAGTGGCTGCCACCCGCACAACCGACCAGGGCCGGGGACTAACTGCAACCGAGGTACGTGCCCTTAGCGGGAACTGAACCCGGGTCTCTCAGGACCGCAGGCCGATGCTCTAACCGCTGAGCCAAACCGGCCAGGGCTACCCACTGGTTATTTAAATCTCTTCAATTTCCATGGAGAAATTTTTAGAAAATATTATCCACAAGAATAAAGACAAGTGGTCACTTTAGAGCGGGTTAAAGTATGTATCATCTGTTTCAGGGCTAGTCATATTCATTTAACTGATAATCCTAATGTGAGCATCTTATGTTCTTAGATACTTTGATAACACTGTTACATAATAGAATCTTATGAAGAAATAGGGTAAGGTAAGATAATTATAAATGTTAAATGGGATGGAACTTAAGTGACCTGTGTGTGTGTGTGTGTGTGTGTGTGTGCATGTGTGTGCATGCACAATGGGGGTGGGAACTGATGGTTGGAACTCAGCATAGTTCATAGCACTATACAGATAATGAATTAATTTTATTCCTGTTTAAAATTAATTTAGTAGCGATAAAAACTAAATGGTTTCCACTTAAATGGCAGTTACAATCTTATAGGGAGACAAAGACACTTTAATATGAAATAATAAACCAGCAACTTAAGGCAATATAGGATAATATTAATAGCTAGCACTTATTGAGTGCTACCAGTGTTACAAACACATTGCATGTATATTTTCTTATTTCATTCTCACAGAAACTCTGTGAGATTGGTGTTGCTATGGTTCCCATTTTAAAATTAGGGAATTGAGGCTTTGGTCAACCCAAGTCACGTAACCAGAGTGGCACAGCTGGGACTGGAACTCGATCGCAGCATACTCTGCAACTTCGAAGCCTCTACAAGTTGCTTCCTTGTGCAGCAGAGTAGAAATGGGTCGTGGTGGGCTGGAGAGAACAGGGAAGATAAAGGACTGATTCTGAAAAAAGTACTGAGGCTTCGGGGATATTATTGGAAATATCAGAAGATTAGCAAGAGATGAATCAAAACACCATTAAAGAATCTCTCTTCATATCTCTATATGAATTGTTTTTTCTTTATAGGATCCATTAGAAATGCACAATGAAAGAAACATCAGGTTTCAGAACTAGATTGGAAAGTCCTTTCAATGGAAATATTGGGCTTCGTGAAGGACAGGCACAATACTTTAGCTATTAAAAGTGGTTCTTTAAATGACAATGGGTAGAGTTTTATTCCCGAAAGCAGAAAAGTATACTGCGGAATTGTGCCACATCTCCCTTAGGTAAGGGCCTAAGCAAGTGAGATTAAATCACCCCTTCTCTTAACAAGCATTCCTTTTATGTGAATACATTTACTTTCAGACTCTTAAACTGCTACAGTTGCCATTGGTTTCTCTTTGTTCCTTACTATTAAATTATGAATATCATGTTTAATGCTCAATTCTACCTGACAGATACCATGGAGAGAGCAGCACACCATCCAAGGACTCAGCTGTCTGTCCTCCTTCTGACTTCAAGAAGCTGTCCCTTCATGGCCAGTGTGCCTTCCGACCCTTACCTGTCCCCTCCAGGAGGAGCTGTCAGGCCACAGCAGCCGCCGGCCAGGCTGTCAGCGTGCCCTCTGGTGCCACAAACACAAAAGGACCCCAGGGACTTCCGGATCACAAAGACTCTCTCAGTGAAATCCCTTTCAAGTGCAATGGGAACGGAAATGACTTTTACTTAAAAAATTCCTCCCTGGCCTCCCCTTTACAAAGCAACCCGAATGTAGAGAGAAAGGAGTCAGAACTTCATTTGTTCATTATTTCCACAACGTCACCAATATTTCTGCACTTAAAGAGTTCGTGGAACAATTATATTATAGTAAGTGTCCTCATAAGTTAACCTTGACTTGAGGATTGTTTTTTAGGGTAGACTTCCCTGTTCTACCCTCCCATTTTGGAAATTCACCTTGGAATTTAATAATACTGAGTAAGACAATGCCCTGGACAATTAAGAAAATGGTTTTATTCAGCTATTACAATAGGGAAAATGCTCATTAATGAGACGTATTTGTCCTAAAGAAAATGAGATAGACCTGGGTTTTACAGAGGCGGGTAAATAAGGGAGTCATCAGTGACATGAAAGAGAATCATGAGGAAAGAGACAGGTCTTATCTCGAGTGGTCTTTTGCAGTTAGCCGGGGTGATCTCTCAACTTTTCTGCTTTCAGACAGCACAGAGCTCAGATAAAATTCAACATTGTCAACATGTTTCCGTATTTCTCAGCTGTGCTATTGAAAGTGGGTTGATGGGAGTCATTATTATAGGATCAAATAATTATATAGAAACCACCTAGTCTGCGTCCCTCTTAACGGAGGAAACTGAAGCACAACCATTTTAAGTGACTTACTCAAGATTATATAGTAAGTTAGGGGCAGAGTCAGAACTCCCGTTCAGGGATCTTTTTATTACTCCAGGCTCAGTTTAAAATTAAGTAATTAAAAAAAAATTTTTTTTCCCCTTTATTGATTTTACAGAGAGAGGAAGTGAGAGAGAGAGATAGAAACAGCGATGAGACAGAACATCCGACTGGCCGCCTCTTGCATGCCCCCCACCAGTGATTAGGCCCACATCCTGGGCATGTGTCCTGACTGGGAATTGAACCAGCGACCTCTTGGTGCATGGGTCGATGCTCAACCACTGAGCCACACCGGTCGGACTAAAAATAAGTAATCAATCAAAAAGTAATATGAGCCCTGGCCGGTTTGGCTCAGCAGCTGGAGCGTAGGCCTGCGGACCAGAGAGTCCTGGGTTCGGTTGCCGCTAGGGGCACGTGCCAAAAAACAAAAACCAAAACAAAAAACCAAAACAAAAAAAGTAATATGATCCTTTTCAGTTATCTTCAGTGATATATAGTTTTTATTATTGATCATTTAACATAAAAATATTAAGAAGTAGGAAAGGCTGTTTTCACTCCGAAGAAGCTAGGAAGCAGAGGTTTTATAAATGGCTAGACATTGTGAAAGATTGCAAGACAACTCTATTTTATTTCTTCATAGCACAATTAGAATGGTCAAAGTTTAAATTAAATATTTAAAATTTCTAAATTTTTAAACAGCTTTCTTCAAATTAAGAATGTAAATGAATTATAGAGGGGAAACCCTTGTCTATTAAAAGAAGGCCTCATATGTTCTCATAGGAAAACTAGAACTTAATTGGCTTAAAAATCTATCTAAATATTTCAAAGTAACTGTTTGGACTTCCCTGAACTGACTCTTAGTTTTATTCCTTTTTTTTTTTTTTATCCTCACCCGAGGACATTTTTCCATTTTTTGCACAGATAGAGTGAGAGGGAGAGAGAGGAAGAGAGAGAAACATCGACGTGAAAGGAACACATCGAGTGGCTGCCACCTGCATGACCAACCAGGGTCGGGGGCAAACTGCAACTGAGGTACATGCCCTTAGCAGGAACCGAACCCGGGTCTCTCCGGACCGCAGGCCGATGCTCTAACCGCTGAGCCAAACCGGCCAGGGCCTGACTCTTAGTTTTAAATACGGCTTTTTAATTCTGCAGCAGAGGCATGGTTGGGGCAAGTCAGACAGACCGACTCATAGTCCTTCTGATAATAAAAACAATAACAATAACATGTATTGTTTTTAGCCAGAAACTGTTCTGATGCTTTCTTTCTTTTGTTTTTCAAACTAAAACGATGCTGTTTAATGGGAACCAGAGGTACAGTCACAATTTCATAGTCTGTTACAAAAAACCCATGTGTGATTAGGACCTGTAAGGTTACAAAATAATGAGGGTCCTGGGTGTAGGAGAAAGCTGTTCCAGAACCCAGGAGGCAGGCTAAGATGGCCTCTCCCTGTGATCCTGTCTGTGGTCATCTTGCCAGGGCCAAAGCTACCTCTGTCCCCACCGCCCTCTCGGAAGCTCCCATGGTCCCTGCCTCAGCCTCGGTAGCCACCCTGATCGTAGCCTCCTCTGTCACCATCTCCATAGCTACCACCCACACGAGAGCCTCCTGGTCCCCCCCTGGCCATCTGGCTTCGGGGCCTTACACGGTTGCATTCATTCCTCCAAGAGATGTTCATGTTCTCACATGAGGATTGAGACACTTCCAGTCCACTGTCCACTATGTATTAAGTGAAAAAAAAATGTTCCAGATCAATATATGTGATATAATTAGCTAGTATTAAATATATATTATAAAAATATATCATCTAATATTTAAATGTTATATATGTATATGTTATAGTTAATGTTTTTATATGCCTGAAAAGATATAAACCAAACTGATAACAGCAAGGTGCTGTGAATAGCAGGATAGAAGGAGTAGGGAGAACCTGGGAACTTTTATCTTTGACTTTATATATTTCTGTACTGTTTACTTTTGATAATTTTATTTTATAATAAGCAAATATTATTGTTAAGCCTTTAAAAATTATATAAGAAAAAAATCCTCGGCGGTATTATCAGACACGGGAATAAACAGAGTTAAACAAATCATGTATATAGAAAGCATTAAAGAATGGATTCATGATACTGACTAAATGTAGGGGGAATTGATTTTCAGTAAACAATAGTTCTAACTATTTCCACGTTTTCCCTCTTTCAGAAAGCGACTCTTTTACAAGATCCCCTGTATGTTAGTGAGTTGAGTCTTACGATTGGATATCAAAAGCCATACAGGTAAGGAGTGATGATATGACGGTTCCACGGAGGGGCGTGCTCTCCTCTGTGCCTCCCCAACTGTGTGTTACTGACCATCACATTAAACCTCTACCTCAACTCTCTGCCCTGAACTTGAGGTCTGCAAACACGTTTACCCACTGGGTATCACCTCTTAGAGCTTTCTTAAAGTCAGCACATTCAAAACAGAATTCAGCATCTTCCTCTGGGACCTAACCTTCCTCTTCTGTTTTCTAACACAGGACATGATGTTATGACCCCCGGTCACCCAAGCCAGAGTCCTGGATGTTGCCTTTACCTTCTCTCTCCCCTTCATTATCCCCCACATACAGTCCATCACCATATGATTTATTGTGCTTTAATATATCTGGGTTACATCCACTTTTTTCCACTGTCACACTCTCAGGCCCAGTCTGGGCTCCTAGTATTTTCCTAGCTGGCCTCTGCCTTCACTCCTGGCTGTCTCTAGACCTTCTCCATTACAGTAGAGGACTCTCTCAGAAGCACACGTCTGATCATGTCCCTCCTCCCTTAAAGCCTTTGAATGGCTCCCCATTGGCTTTAGGAGAAGATTCCAAACTCTTTATTTTTATTTTTATTTTTTTTATCCTTACCCGAGGACATGTTTGCATTTATCTTCAGATAGAGTGGGAGAGAGAGAGGGGTTAAGAGAGAGAGAGAAATATCGATGTGAGAGAGACACATCGACTAGCTGCACCCAATGACCCCAACTGGGGCCGGGGATAAACTGCAACTGAGGTACGTGCCCTTAGCGGGAACCGAACCCGGGACTCTCTGATCTGTGGGCCAGTGCTCTGACCGCTGAGCCAAACTGGCCAGGGCAGATTCCAAACTCTCTAACAGCTTACACAGATCTTCTTCACATCTCGTTCGTTATTTTCATCCTCAACTAGTGTGTTCTCCCCGCTCTTCTTCAAGCTCCTGACCCAAATAAACTCACAGTTCTAAGAAAGTTCCCTGTTTATTTCCCTCTGGGCCCTAACATGATGGCCCTTATTCTGTGACTCTACTCTCTACTCCTCTTCCCCTTCACGAATAACTTCAACTCCTCAAGTCTTAGCTTATTATCTCTTTCTCTAAAAATAATTTCTCAAAATGAAGTTAAGAGGGGCCCCTCCATAGCATCCTGTGCTTACATATCACGTAGCACTTAGCAGTCTGCATTATGAATGCTTATTTGATTATGGGCTGCCCTATCATGCAGTGTGTTCCTCAAGGGCAGGGCCTTGATCTAGCACATACAGGCTGCCAGTAAGCCTTCATAGAGTGAGTGAGTGAATGAATGAGATGAGATGAGATAAGATAGAGGCAGGGACCAGATCATAAAGGGCTTTATATTCAAGGCTATGAAGTTTGGATTATATCTAGATTTCGTAGTTCTATTAGTTTGTAGTCACAGTCAGCCTTATACTGAAGTAGTGACTTGTGATATGACTAGCTCTTCTGGTAATTGTGAGCCCTTGGAAAGCAAGCAACACGTCTTATTAATTTTTGTATTTTTCTTACTTAAAACAGTACTCTGTACATAGAAAGCACTCAGTGAATTGATGGTATCAACAATTATGACACTGAGTTTAAATCATGGGCAAGTTTTGAAAGGTTTACAATAATGATGTATATTGGGGGGGGGGTTATATAAATGAGTTAAAAGTAAGTTAATTTTAAAAGGTGCATATTCATTTCTTACTAAAGGAACCAAAGTTTCATATAGGGATGACTGATTCTAGGTCTGGAGAAGAACCAGAGCCAAGAGTAAAGGGTCCCCCAAAACACAGGAGCCCTATGGCTCCTAATAGCCGAAGATGGGACAATTTGAGTATCAGAAAAAATAATGAATGAGGTAGTTGAAACACAATGAATATATAAACATTTTAGCACCTCCGCACAGAAAGAGATAAAAATTCATTGAACTTCATTAGAAGTAAATAGGGCATCAATTCCTTACTTTACAAATCAGCAAACAAATGGAAAGAGTTAAGCATTTATCCTGCCTTTCCTGCATCAGCTGTAATCAGTTCAGGGTAACCAAGCAGCCTGAGTTAATGAGGGAAGATTCCATTTTACAGAATTCCAGCTAATGAACGTGGAAGGTTTAACAGGATTAGAAAATTACCATTTCTGCGACTCCTAGTGAAATAATAGATTCATGCAGCAATCCTCAGTGGATGAAACTGAGAGACAGAAAGGTGAAGCAGAACTTCCAATGGAGGGATTATTTTGTAAATGACTGAGACCATTGATCAGTCTGAGCATCACTTAAGTGGGACAGCCAGGTTTTGTGCCTCATTATTTGATGTAATATGAAACACACAGCACCACTTATGAAGTATCTTTGTTAAAACAATTCAATCTGAACCTGACTTTAAAGTGTGGGTATGTCAGCCTTCAAAAGGAATGAAATTCTGACACATGACAACCTGGACAAATCTTAAAGAAATTATGCTAAGTGAAATAAGCCAGACAGAGAAAGGCAAATATTGTATGATTCCAATATAAGGCACCTAGAATAGGCAAATTCATAGAAACAGAAAGTAGACTAGGGGGAGGGGGAATGGGAGTTATTGTTTAATGGGTAAGGAGTTTCTGAAGTGCTGGAAATTGATAGTGATGGTTGCACAATATTGTGAATGCATTGAATGCCACTGAATTGTATGCCTAAAAGTTATTGCAATGGTACATTTTATATTATGTATTTTTATCTCAATTTTTAAAAAGATAGGGGTGTGCATGTGAAAGGGAATAGATAAGACATGATTAGCAAAATGTTGAAAATTATTGAAGCTAGGTGATGGGTATGTGGGGGTTTCTTATTCAATTTTGTTCATTTTTGTGTATGTTTGAAAATTTCCATAGTAAAAGTTTTTAAAAGACTTAAGAAACATAACAAGCAAATACAATAAGTATCTTATTTAGATCTTAATTTTAATGAATCAAATATAAAAAAAATATTTTTAAGGCAATAGGTGGACATTTGAATATTGACTGGGTATTAGACAGTACCAAAGAATTACTGATAATTTTGTTGGGTGTGATAATCATGTTTTATTTTGATATGTAGGGGTTAAGTAACATAACGTTTGTGATTTCTTTTAAAAAATGGTAATACAGAGCTTGGGCAGCGGTTCTCAACCTGTGGGTTGCGACCCCTTTGGGGGTGAATGACCCTTTCACAGGGGTCGCCTAAGACATAAAGCAAAATTACAGTTATGAAATAGCAACGGAAATAATTTTATGGTTGGGGGTCACCACAACATGAGGAACTGTATTAAAGGGTCACGGCATTAGGAAGGTTGAGAACCACTGGGCCTTAGAGAATATCTATCTACATGTTTTCATATATTAGTTTTAAAAAGTATTAGTTTACTTAAAGTGATTTTGAAGCTAAATGTATAATACAATAGGCTCTAACTTTGTTTATGTATGGCTTGAAATTTATCCCTGAAGGCAAGTAGGAAAGTTCTGCCACTATCTTGACAAAGGAAAAGTATATTTCTTGCAAAGTTAATTCCTGATGGCAACATATTTAAAATGCAGTGATTTAAAATGCACTCTCAGGGATACACTATATGTACAAGATACACAAGAAATGGTCTTTGCCTACAAGGCACCTTCAGTTTAAAAGAAGTAAATATTCTTTAGGTTTTCAAATTAGAACTCTATCCCAAATGTGAGTTCTGTAACCTGACCATTGTGAACATATACACAGTACTTCTGAGATAATGTATGAAAAGCTTTTTCTAGTTATAAAACATTGTACTAATATAAGGTATTATTTTTATTAAATGTCTGAAAAAAATGAAAAGATATAAGCAAAATAGAGCTTATCATTAGATAAAGAATCCTTTTGCCACATTATTTGGATGAATTTATATTTTCTAGCTGATGAAAATATAGAACATGAATATGATTTTCCACTTAGTCCTCAACTAAGTCATGGAGTCTTATGGCACTGACTTTTTCTTATTTAAATTAGTCAAAGGAAGTTCGTCATCTATGTAAAAGCAAAAGTTCTCTGAATGTTAAAAGAAACTGTGATTATATATAACTTCTCTGTAGAAATAGAGACTCCTGAATCTAACTTGAATTTATAATGCATATGAGGCCTTAATTTATATATACATTTATTTTTAGTATGAAGAAATTACTATGCTTTTTCTTATGAAATCTGTTTGGCCTTTTTGAAAAAAAATAATTTGGTATTACAATCTATTATCATAGGTACTGAAGGATAAAAATAGTTTGTTTCCAAGGATCTTAGCAAATTGCTGACTCCTATTGGGAAAGACTAGAAAACCAATTTCAAAATAATTCTGCTGATATTGTATTTTTTCTGAGCTTTTGCTTTTCTAAGCTCATTTGTTTGTGAAAACAACATTTCTGCTGTTTTGGAGTTCTCAGAGAATAGAGGGATTTTATAGTTTTCTTTAAATGCATTGTGGTAGTAATTAGAGGTAGATACATATACATTTGTATATATAGGAAAGTGAAATCTCAAAGCTCATTCTGACTTTACTTAGATACTATTTATTGAACACTGTGTGCTAAGGACATGTGGTATCAAAACAGCACAATGGGATAGGTTCTGTCATTATCTCCATTTTATAGAAGAGAAAATTGAGGCACAGAGAGACCAGGTAACTTGCCTTTGGTTATTACCCAGCTGAGTAGGGACAGATTTAGGATTCCAATTAACCCATCTGATCCTGCCTCCCCCCATGCTTATAATCATGTGATTATAGCCTCAGTAATTGCTATCACTGAAATTTTCTCTTCCCATGTCTCCACTAGAAGAGACACTGTTTTGTCTTAATAAGAGAGGCTTATTGATCGAATAGGGAAGAATTAAATTATTTATAATTCAAGTCAGAAATTCTAGGGAGTTTCCATTAACTTACACAGAGCATGAAACAACTGTCCTACCATTACTTTGTACCCTGCTTTTCTGAATCACTAGTTGTATGAGCTTGGACAGGCTACTTGGCCTTCTGACATCCCATACATGCAACAGTAATTCCCAACTCAGCCCCTTACTGGGACTGAATGAGCTAGTGCATGAAAAGTATTCCATTTGGGAAACATGATGAACCTAGAGGGTATTATGCTAAATGAAGTAAGTCAGACAGAGAAAGACACATATTCTATGATATGACTTGTATATAAAAATCTAAAGAACAAAATAAATGAACAAAAGAACAAAATAAATGAACAGAAATAGACTCATAGATACAGAGGACAAACTGATGGTTGCCAGATGGGAAGAGGGTTGGGGGGATTCATGAAAAAGGGATTAAGAAGTACAACTTGGTAGTTACAAAATAGTCACAGGGATATAAAATACAGCATAGGGAAAATAATAGTTAATATTGTAGTAACTATGTGTGGTGCCAGGTGGGTACTAGACTTATTAGAGGGATCACTTTGTAAATTATATAAATGTGAAACTAATATAAAATAATAGTGAATGTCAACTTTAATTGAAAAATAAAATATCCAAACATGAAAAATAACTATATTAAAATTCCATTAGTAACAAAGTTTTACATACCTGTCAATGATAGTTGATATTCCTCAACTGCTGTTTATCAATTTTTACATGTTAAGTTTTCTTATGTTTCTGTAGATCTGAGGAGAAAATTAAGCACTTCAGTCAACTTAAATCTGAGCTTTTTCTTAAAGAAAATACTTTGAGGAAGATACTTTGTTTAATTACGGAACTTAAAGTAGCAGCCCAGAAAAACTTCATTCTGAAAAGGCTTTTCTGGAAAGTAGGTGTTTTATTTTAATTAAAAACATTTTTTTTTTTATCCTCACCCAACAATATTTTTTCCATTGATTTTTAGAGAGAGTGGAAGGGAGGGTGGGAGGTGGAGAGAGAGAGAGAGAGAGAGAGAGAGAGAGAGAGAGAGAGAAACATTGATGTGAGAGAGACACATCGATTGGTTGCCTCCTTTACACATTAAACCTGCAGCCCAGGGAATTGAACCTGTGACCTTTCAGTGCATGAGCTGATGCTTTAGCCACTGAGCAACACCTACCAGGACATGGTGGGAGATATTTAATGAGTGAAAATTCCTGAACCAGTGAGCAAGTGGGAGATAATAACAACTGATATTTATTAAGCACTTACGATGTGCTAAGTACTCTTCAGGCTTTATAAATACTATCTTATTTAATCCTAACATCAACTCCATGAGGGGATATTATTAAGCCCATGGTAGAGACGAAGAAACTGAGTCACAGAGTATATAAATAAATTGACAAATGTCATACAGCAAATCAATGGCAGAGCTGGGATTTGAACTTGAGAACCTGGCTCCAGAGTCAGTGTGTAAAACCACCACACTATGCTAATTTATCAGGGCTCTGGGTAAGCCCAAGCACTATTGGTGGGCCTGGTGCACATTTTGCTCCTTCCCCTCTATTCCCTCTCTTCACCCACTGTCCTCAGCCTCTTTTCATGCCATATCACCTAAACAAGGGCACACATACCCCTGCCTAAACTAAGAATCTAAGTTGTCACTAGTAAAAAAAAAGGTCTGGAGAGAACTGAGAGGTACCAGACAGACCTCAGCATCACCCGACTCCCAGCTCTGCAGACAAGATGCAGCGACTGTGTGCGTATGTGCTGATCTTGGCGCTGGCTCTGGCCACCTTCTCTGAAGCTTCATGGAAGTCCCTTTCTCAGCTTCAGGATGTCCCTTAAGGTCCAGGGGCCAACAGGGGTCTGGAGGCACAGCCTCTCACCACCAAAGGCAGCTGAGGTTCCAGGGTCCCCCACGTGGGGTGGCAGACCTGTCCAAGAAGCAGGGGCCATGGCTGGAGAAAGAAGAAGTGTATGGATGGTTGGATTTCGGCCACTGCAATGCTGAGGAAGAGGACCAACATCCATAGAACTGAGCTTTAAGCCCAGTCACCTCCCAGCCCAACCTGGCCCCATGAAAACCCAATCCAAATAAACTAGCTTCCAATGGGAAAAAAAAAGTTCTGGGGGGGAAAAATGAATCATAGAGGATTAGAAAAGAGAAGCAATTACATTATACTTCTCATTAGTACCAACTTGCCTGATTTCATGGGCCAGTGCTTATTTTCATGCTTGATTTATCTCATGAGACTGGATAGGAACACAGAAAACTTGGTTCCCCCGCTCATACATCAGTGGTATTTTGGCAGGAATGGCAATGTGCATTTCCACTGTATTAACAGAAGTATGACTATCGTTCTGCACCATCTCTATAGGCTATACTAGTGCTCTACATGTGTTTCTGTACTAGTAAACATTTTAAGACGAGCTTCTCTAGCCTTGATTTCATTCTGTGTTCACAAATGCCAAATTCCTTTGGAAAGGCAGGGATTATGGTAATCCCCATTTAATATATTATTCCAAGGTAACTGAATGGTTTGCCTGATTATATACCTACTTCTGGATAATCTTCAATATTAATGGTCAAGCCGTGTCTGGAAGACATCACTCTCTAGACTTTAGCTCTTGCTCTGTTCACCAGGACAGTGGTCTCCTGATTGTAAGCAAAAGTATGTTTTCAGCCCTGGCCAGTTTGGCTCAGCGGTTAGAGCATTGGCCTGCGGTCCGGAGAGACCCGGGTTCGGTTCCCGCTAAGGGCACGTACTTCGGTTGCAGTTTGTCCCCGGCCCTGGTTGGTCGTGTGGGTGGCAGCCACTCGATGTGTCCCTTCACATCGATGTTTCTCTCTCTCTCTCCCTCCCACTCTATCTGTACAAAAAATGGAAAAATATCCTCGGGTGAGGATAAAAAAAAAAAACAAAATAAAAAAAAAAAAAGTATGTTTTCAATGTGAGTTATGCTAATATTAATGAGAGATGGTGTACATCACTTCTTGGTTAAAGAAGAAATTATTTCTTATTTTTATTATGTAAGCGTAGAGAATTTTACCAACAGATACCTTAGCTTCCTCTTTCCTGCTTGCTTTCAGACCAGTGAACTTTTCTATTTCCTAGTGAACAAACTTCATGAGTTCTTGCCAGAGTCCAGGGATAAGAATGCACTTCAAAATAAAAGCCAAAGAGCTGATGAGCTGGTGTAAGTACTAACTGGATAATCATAGATATCCCCCCCCCCCCCCCATGGTGTTAAAGATAAATGGAAGGCGCTAGGCAAAATACATACTGTTTTAATGATTAATGGTGCTGCAAGTTTTGCTTCACATAGAATTTTTAAAATAACATTCATTTTGCTCTAATTTTAAAAAACGACTACACAAAAAACTAATAATATAGGCTGTTCTAAAAGGGAAAAATTGGGTGTCTGGAGGAAAGACACTTTTTAAAAAAAAAATCCTCACCCGAGGATATTTTTTCATTTATCATCAGATAGAATGGGAGAGAGAGAGGGAGGGAGGGAGGGAGGAAGGGGGAAAGAGAGAGAGAAACATTGATGTGAGAGGGACACATCAACTGGCTGCCTCCCGTACAACCCTGACCAGGGCCGGGGACCAAACCACAACCGAGGTATGTGCGCCTGACTGGAATCGAACCCATGACTCTTTAAAGGTCCATGAGCCGATGCTCCAACTGCTGAGCCAAACTGGCCAAGGCAGGAAAGACACTTTTTATTGTATTTCTTTTTTTTACCTTTGAAATTTTGAGGCAAATATTATCTACTTGAAAAAATTAAAATTATTTGTAAAAAAAACTAGTGCATAATTATTGTAAAAACTTTGGAAAAAACATTAAAAAGACAATATGCAAATGACTTTTAATCCTGACATCCAGCTACTCATTCACTCAACAAATACTTTTGAGTGCTACTATGTAGCAATCACAGAATAGGCACTCAACCAATGTTGGCAATTTGATATACAGAATTTCCTTCCTGCACTTTTTTCTTCATAGATATCTGAGTGTAATTCTAATAAGGATTCCTGAGTTTGTGGAATTCTGAACTTGTATTAAAATCATGCCACGTCCGTGCCTTTTTTCTCCTTGTTTTGTAGGGTGTGCATTGAAATTATACAGACTCTGGGACTGATGTTCAGAGAAACAGAAACTGAGTCATCACGTTTGAACACATTGGCAGCTAAGAAGTAAGTTTGCTTAGAAAATATTGGGACCTTATAGTTGCAACCCACTAACTACTCTGTTGAGTGTCCTCCAAAACTCACAGTTCTCTAACTTCTCTGTTCAATCCCTTTTAAGTATATTAAACTCTTTTGTCTCTCCACTTCCTTCTGTGAACAGATTAATTGGCACATACTGAGTTCTCTCTCTCTCTGAATTATTAAGGGTACAAGATAGAAATTTATATCTTTCTCACGTAATAGCCCGGACTAGCTGGTCAACCTTTCTTCTCAACCTGATCAGCCAGAGACCTAGGTTCCTTCCCTTTTGTTGCTCTCCCATCTCCTATCAGGCAATCTTTGTCCTTATGTCTACAACTGGCTTATCCTCTTGATTTCATTACACCCTGTGAGAAGCAGTGAGAAGAGCAGAGGACAAACTAATGTCTTTTTAAAGCAAGGCATATGAGCCTTCTGCTCATGTTCCGTTGGGGAGAACTTCAGGCATGTGATCATAACTAGCTGCAAGAAAGGCTGGAAAATTTGTCTGTAGTTGTATGGTTATGTACCTAAATAAACTTTGGATGGTGATGGGGACATCTGTAATTAAAAGAAAGAATGCAAGACTATAATAGCAGGACAGTAACATTCTTTACCACGGAAGGTATGTGTTTGGATGTTTTGCATGTTATCTGCTTGACCTTTTTTAAAAATCCTCACCTGGGGATATTTTTTCATTGATCTTCAGATGGGAGGGAGAGAGAAACATTGATGTGAGAGCAACATATCCACGGGTTGCCTCCTTCATGACCCCAACCATGGCTGGGTATTGAATTGCAACTGAGGTACATGCCCTTGACTGGAATCGAACCCATGACTCTTTGATCCTTGGGCTGACATTCTAACTGCTGAGCCAAATGGGCCAGGGCATCTGCTTGACCTTTTAAGAGTAAGAATTTTTGTCTTTTCAGACCATATAGTCTCTGTTGCAATTACTCAATTCTGTCACTGTAGCACAAAAGCAGCCATAGACAATACATAAATGAATGGGCACAACTGTGTTCCAATGACACTTTATTAACAAAAATAGGCTCGGGACTATTTGGCCTGCAGGCCAGTTTGTTGATCCCTGCTTTACTAGGAAAATATACTGTTATGTTCTCTGCACACTTCTGTATGTAGCTGGTAGTACTGCCATTTCCCCTATCTCCAAGATGTAAATTCATTTCTAATATTTCTGTCTCCTTCTATACTGAAATGATTGCTATATCATGTTACTCTTTTTTTGTGTACCTTTTGGTCCCCACCTTTTTCTGTCCACGTTGAAAAAAATTCATTCTTACTAACCTCTACTATAAAGTGTTGCATTTTTTAAAAATATATGTTTTTTATTGTTTAGGGAGAGGAAAGGAGAGAGAGAGAGAGAAACATCGATGTGAGAGAGAAACATCTATCGGCTGCCTCCTGCACGCCCCCTACTGGGGATGGAGCCTGCAGCCCCAGCATGTGCCCTGACTGGGAATCGAACTGGGACCTCTCAGTCCAGGAGGATGCTCAATCCACACTGACTGAGCTAAAGTGTTGCACTTTAATTGTTCTGGCTTAACTTGGTTTGACCACAACAGCCCTTCTATACCAAGTTTCTTTCCTTATATGACTAATTCTTTTTATGTCTTTCAATACATATATTATGTTGGTGTAACAGAGTGTGGTTGCAATAGTAATTTTTCAGCCAATTTTGATATGCATAGGGTCAAGACATGTTACCCATAGCATTACTGGCACAGTAAATATCTAAAATAACTGTATTGGTCTTCTGTTGCTCTGTAACAAATAACCACAGGCTCAGTGGCTTAAAACAATGTAAATTTTCTATCCCACAGTTTCTGTGGATCAGGAAATCTGGGCATAGTTTAGTTGGATCCTCTGCTCAGAACCTCACAAGGCTGAAATCAAGGTTTCAGCTGGGGTTGCAATCTAATCTGAAGCTTCCTCATTTGGGTGGTTGGTGCAGAATAAATTTCCTGACCACTATAAACTCATGATGGCCTTGGTAGGAGAAAATCTCTGAGCTCAGGGAAGGCCTAAACTCTCTTTTGAAGGGCTCATCTGATGAGATCAGATCTATCCAGGATAATCTTCCTTTTATTAATTCAAGTCAATTAGGAACCTTATTGAAATATGAAAAATCCCTTCATTTTTCTCATCTAACATAACATAATCATAAGAGTGATACCCCAACATATTTACAAGTACTGCTCAAATTTAAGGGGAAGAGATTATATAGGTTGCATATACAAGAGGGAAGAAATTTTGGAAGCCATATTAGAATTCTGCCCATCACAATAACATACACTGAAATCTGAGGCTATGAATTTGCCTTTCAAAGTCTGTATTTTAAAATATAATACATTCAAAATTCTTACATTAGAAATAATAACAATTTAAACAACTTTTGAATGTATCAAACTGTTGGCACCATTTTTTAAGACTGTGATATCAATCTTAAAAGTCTTTATTTTCAGGATGAAACTACCATTTAGATTAAAATTTCTTCTATCTACTTATTATTGGCCTAGTAGAATTTAAATAGAGTTGGCAGAAGGGGTAGATTATAAATTAAATTCCACTTGAGCAAATAAAAAAGCATTTAATCATTTCAGTATTTTCCTCTATTTTTTTCATAAGTGGAGATTTTATTAGTTCAACACACTTCCTTGTATTCTTCTTGAAATGTACTATAATCCTTTCATGTTTCAGTATTGTTAGGATTGAATTTATGTATTATCACAGCAAGTGAACCAGAATTTGAGCGCTCCTTCCCTTAGCCTTAGACATGTGATGCTTTGAAAAGATGCTGTTGCTGAAAATAAAGGACTATAATTAAATATAACAGTGAATGGAATGTCAGTTCAAACTTAATATCAGGAAACGCTTCTAAATGGAGTGTTTTGTTAGTTTTGGAAGGGTCTTCTAAAAGTAACATTGGCCATTTTTAAATAGTTGAATAAAACATTAGCAAATATCCTGTAGGACATATCCTGCTTTTTTTTTGAGAACTGTGCTGACATGATTTTTCTTTTGCAGATATGAGAACTAGATTTGTTTTTTTTTTTTGAGTTGGAGTAAGGAGGGGAATTGTATTTTTATTTGAATTTTTGTTAATCATGAACTTCTACATTTTTTTTTTTTTTTAATCCTCACCTGAGGATATTTTTGTTTTCCATTTTTTGTACAGATAGAGTGGGAGGGAGAGAGAGGAAGGGAGAGAGAGAGAGAAACATCGATGTGAAGGGACACGTCGACTGGCTGCCACCCTCATGACCAACCAGGGCCGGGGACAAACTGCAACCGAGGTACGTGCCCTTAGCAGGAACCGAACCCGGGTCTCTCCGGACCGCAGGCCGACGCTCTAACCGCTGAGCCAAACTGGCCAGGGCAATCATGAACTTCTAATCATGGTTATGATTTCAGTGATTGCAAAAAGATTAAGAAGCCTCACATATGACTAAACAAGGATTGTTTATAGCCTTCTTTAATCCATTATGAAAGGAATGCTTATGGTTATAGAGGATTTTAATACAATCCTATCTGAAATTCTTTTACTACTCCTGTCAGAGCTACTCCGATCTTGTCTTCAGTCAGGCAACTGCATTTCTAGAGGTCTGCTTGCAGCCCCGCTTCCGGCATACATGGACTGCACTACTCACAGGAGATGGTGTTGCCAGCCCAGCTCCGCAGGATGCTCATTTGGAACTACAATGTTTTCCTTTTTCTTTTCAAATCATATGGTATATTATTCAAACACATAGTAACATTTAAGGATTTATTACTGTACATTAGTGGACAGTACACTGCATTTGAAAGCAAAAGACCTGAAGTTTAATTATTATTTTTTATCCTCACCTGAGGATATATTTACTTATTTTAGAGAGCAAGAGGAAGGGAGAGAGAGACAGAGAGATAGAAAACATCAATGTGAGACACATTGATCCGTTGCCTCCTGTACATGCCCCAACCAGGAATTGAACTGCAACCTTTTGGTATATGGGACGACGCTCCAACCAACTGAGCTACCGGGTCAGGCCTTAATATTAGTTTTATTAATAGCTAGTGGCCTTCTATGGAACAGTAAACCTCTGAAATGCTTTGTCTAAAAAAGGGTTCTAGAGTAAAAAAGCTTGTGATCGAATAAGCACTGTAGGAAATACTTCAGACTGTTTCTCTGTCCTGGAGATACACAGTGCATGCACATTAGCATATTAAAGGCTCTGAGAAGACCTGGAGTAAGATAATCAGTGAACTAGGTTAAATCAAATAGTTTTCATTCCTCTTTTGAACACATTCTCTTTTTACTATAATGTTGTCTGGAATTATTTTTAAAAAATTTAAAAAAAATTGTTTTTCCTTTATTGATCTTTAGAAAGAGAGGAAGGGAGAGGGGGAGAGAGCGAGAAACATCAATGAGAGAGAACACCAATTGGCTGCCTCCTGCATGTCCCCTACTGGGGACTTGGCCCACAATCTGGGCATGTGCCCTGGCCGGGAATTGAACCAGCTACCTCTTGGTGCATGGGTTGACACTCAACCACTGAGCCACACTGGCCAGGCTGGAATTATTAATCTATAAGAAACCCTTTGAAATCACCCAAATTACCCTTAAATCCAGATTTTCTAAGCTTGCAAAGTTGTGTGAACTTCTAGAACTGTACTTATTCTGAGCAAAAAGATCAATAAATTATATTTTCATTTAAATGTCTTTTCTTCAGACATTTGTCTCCATGTATAAGGATCCAAAAGTTCAGTCAAGAATGGCCTGCAATGCTTTGTTGTTGTTGTTTTTTTTTTTTTTTTTTTTTTTTTATCCTCACCTGAGGACATTTTTTGTTCAGATAGAGAGGGAGGGAGAGAGAGGAAGAGAGAGAGAGAGAGAAACATCGACGTGAAGGGACACATCGAGTGGCTGCCACCCGCACGACCAACCAGGGCCGGGGACAAACTGCAACCGAGGTACGTGCCCTTAGCGGGAACCGAACCTGGGTCTCTCGGGACCGCAGGCCGACGCTCTAACCACTGAGCAAAACCGGCCAGGGCTGCTTTGTTTTTTTAAGTGTAATTATATTCAGTGTCTGCAAACTTGGATTCACTGTTCTTTTCAGACTTTACTCATTAGTTGCTTTTTATTTATTTTTCAGGGGAACACTATTTAATCTCTTGGTAATTTTAATTAGCAAGCCTCAGATTCCAAAATCTTGTCCTGTGTTTGATACCCAGTTGGTGGCTGATTCAACTTTGGTTGAGATGTCTTTGGATGCAGAGGTGAGATGAGTATTTTGAGGTCGATTAAATATAATATATAGGGTCCCTGGCTTTTTGTGGACCATGACATTGTGGAATATAGAAATATAATTAACTAAAAAAAATAACTATTTTGTCATTAACGTCAAAACTTATATAGCTATTTTGTCAACGTTAATATATTCATTTATATTATTTCCTTAGTATACATATATACATGTTGCCTGGTATACATATATAAGATATGTATACTAAGGAAAACAATTAGCATTCTATAGCTATTAGATAAATCTGTCTCTATAGAAGAATATGTATGTATATGTAATTCTACAGTAAGGGGTCTAATGGGTAAAAAGCACTGTCTAAACGATTTTAGGTTAATTCTATTGCCTTAGTTTGCCATTTCCTTACCTAAGTAGTGCAAATTCAGCAAATGTTACTTGTTCTAAGGTTTTACTAAAACATTAGAAATATGAAATTGCCAGAAAGTACTTAATCTGAAAGAATAAATCATCTTATTATTAGTATATTTTATGCAAGCCAACACAGATTTTTTTTTAGAAGAATGGACATGATTTGACAGTTCTTATGCATATAATCAGAGTTATGTTTTAGAAAACTCTTAAATTCACTCATTTCCTCAATAAATATTTGAGAATCTATTAGGAGCTAAACAGTACACTAGACAATAGGATCCAAGTAAGAAGCAAAATAGACATAATCCCTGTTCTCATTAGTTGATAGTCTGGTTGGAGAGACAAAGGTTAATAAAATACAACAGTGATATGTTATTACAAATATATGTAGGGTATCTAGGATACCACCTTCAACAGCAGAGTGAGTGAATGGATTAGGGATTAAAGAGTAAGGATATGCTGAGCTGTTAAGAAGTTAGTGCAGTAGTCCAGGTGAGGGATGATATGGGCCAGAAGGAAGCTTTCCTTGACTCCCAAATGGTAGTAGGTTTCCTTTTTAGTGCTCTTCTAACTCTCTATACTTTTCTTTTATAGCCCTTTCCTCAGTTCCCTCTATGCATTTATTTATTTATTAGATTCATGTATGTGTCCCACTAGATTGTATATTCTGTAGGGTAGTGACCATGTCTCTATTGCTCTCCATAGTATTCTCAACACCTAGTACAGAGTCTGATGCAAATTTGTTAATAAATAAAAATAGAAAGAAAGAAAGAAAGAAAGAAAGAAAGAAAGAAAGAAAGAAAGAAAGAAAGAAAAGGGACAGCAATTATAAAGAGCCTAGATTCCAGAAATTTGGGGGAAATTGAATTGATAGGTTGATGTGGAAATAAAGTATGAACACTAGATGGCCTGGGTGTCAACAAGAACAGGTTCAAAGGGGGAAATAATGAACTTGTTTGGGCATTAGATGATTTGATTTGGCTATGGTTATTCTATATGAAAATATCTAGTGGGCAGAATAGATAGGTCTGAGTTTTCCTGTTTTGGGATATGCTGATCTTTTGCACCTGAGCTATTACTGTGGCCACAAGTAGATCATATAAATGTTTGTTTCGGAGTCTAACATAGTAGGAGATTTCAAACTATAGCTCTTTCTAGCAAAGAATACTCTCAGGGAAAATGTGTTGGCAAAGCATGCCCACAGACACAGTTCTCATACACCAAGTGACCTATGGGCTAGAAGACAGCCTCGCCCAGCCAGTGTGGCTCAGTGGACTGACCATCGTCCCATGGACTGAGAGGTCCCGGTTTGATTCTTGGTCAGGGCACATGCCCGGATTTCAGGCTCGATCCCCAGTAGGAGGCGTGCAGGAGGCAGCAGATAGATGTTTCTTTCTCACTTGGATGTTTCTATTTTTCTCCCTTTCTCTCTCTCTAAAAAATCAATAAAAACATAACAAAAAAAGAAGACAGCCTCAACACTGTTTGAAGTTCTTGAGAGCAAACAACAAAAAAAAATGTCTCTAAGCCCATATTTACCCATACCATAGAAGGAATTATATAGGTCAAGTTGCACATAAGCCTAAATTTAAGAGAATCTCCTATCTTAATTCTGGGGAGCATATTTCTACTATTTTGAAAGGAAGTGGAGTTGTTGATCTGAATGATTTTGCAAATCAAGTGTGCTTTCTGTGGGCCATGGTATCTTCTTTCCCTATCCCACTTTCTTGGCCATTATTAAATGCATAGTCTTGCCCTGGCCAGTTTGGTTCAGTGGTTAGAGCGTCAGTCCATGGACCAGAGAGTCCCGGGTTCAGTTCCCACTAAGGGCACATTCCTCGCTTGCAGTTTGTCCCTGAGTAGATGGCAACCAGTTGATGTGTCTCTCTCACATTGATGTTTCTCTCTCTCTCTTCCCCCCTCTCTCCCTCCCGCTCTATCTGAAGATAAATGCAAAAATGTCCTCGGGTGAGGATAAAAAATAAATAAAATAAATGTGTAGTCTTTTTATGAGAGCCACTTTTTAAAAAAAATATTTTTTCTTTATTTATTTTAGAGAGAGAGGAAGGGAGAGGGAGAGAGAGAGAGAAACACTGATGAGAGAGAACATTGATTGGCCGCCTCCTGCATGCCCCCATGGGGGTCAGGCCCACAACCTGGGCATGTGCCCTGACCGGGAATTGAACTGGCAACCTCTTGGTGCATGAGTCGGTGCTCAACCACTGAGCCACACCAGCTGGGCCGAGAGCCACTTTTTTGAGAATGACTACACTAAATGAAATAGCAAAATTGACCACACTAATTACACTTTCAGTTAATTTAAAAAAAATTTTTTTTATAAGTATCTAAAAGGAACTAGGAGAAATTACCCTTTTCTGGTTCTGACAATGATGGCGCTCTGATTATCATTTAAAATTCTAGTTACAGAAGCTTATCCTGGAATATACAGATACAGCCACAGCACTTTTATATGAGATACTTCTTGTCTTCCAGCAGGTACAATATATATATTTATTTATTATACATATTATATTGTGTGATTATTATATATCATATTTATCATATCAACTATTATAGATGTATAGTATATGAATAATATGCCTTTAAAATGCTTGTTTAGAGACGGTCTCCAAAATTGCTTAACTTAAATTATACTACTTTTGCTCTTAAGTACTCATCTAGCATATTTTCCTGAATGCTGATTTTAAAGATTTGATTAAGTAAGGATAAAATGTTATTTGAGAATCAATATCCTTTTAGGTACAACTTGAACTCCATGAATATAACTTGTTTATTTCCTTGAGTCTTTTAGGGAAATCTTGGATTGGGATCAACAACGTTTGCTATTAGCTGGATGATGTCCTTTCTACAAAGTCATCCCCCCATAGTAAGTACCTAGAAGTAAAAGCAAAACCAAGGCTAATTAAATAGATGCTCGTGCTTCATTAATAAAACATACCTTTTATCTGTAATTAATAAGTTTATAAAACAGGAGCAAAATATATGTCTGATGATTTTATTATTTAATTAAAATAAAATGTTTTACTACTTGGGGCCTGAATGTTTAAGGTACTGAAACAACATGCTAAATGTAAACTATTTAATGGAAAAAAAAAACCTTAAGATACATGTATAGAAGAGAATGTTAAAATACTGGCTGTGTAATTAAGCGGGGAAAAAAGGAACATTTATCTTAAATAGTAAGTATGAGTTTGCAAGTATGACTATAAGAGCACTTGGGATCATCTGGTCATTCTATCCTGGCAGCCACCATCCTAATCCATAATAGCACTCTTGCTCCTTGACACTACAATCACATCTATATAGTCTGTCACTGTCTTCTCCCCACAGTCAGAGGGATCTATTCACAATAAAAATCTGATTATGTTATCCCTTGCTTTTTTATTTTTAGAATTTTTTTTCTTTATTGATTTTAGAGAGAGAGGAAGAGAAGGAGAGAGAGATGAAACATCAATGAGAGAGAACATCGATTGGCCGCCTCCCGCAGGCCCCTCACTGGGGATTTGGCTCACAACCTGGGCATGTGCCCTGACCCAGAATTGAACTGGCAACCTCTTGGTGCATGGGTTGACACTCAACCACTGAGCCACACTGGCTGGGTGTCATCCCTTGCTTTAAATCTCTCATAATAGCCTGGCTGGTGTGGCTCAGTGGATTAAGCGTTGTCCCATGATCTGCATGGTCCTACTTTGATTCAGGGCACATGCCTGGGTTGCAAGCTCAGTCCCTAGTAGGGATTGTGCAGGAGGCAGCCAATCTATGTTTCTCTCTCACATCAGTTTCTCTCTCTCTCTCTCTCTCCCTTCTATCTAAAAAATCAATAAAAACATATTAAAAAATAAGTCTCTCATAATAAATAAAGACATAATGAATAAAGACTAAGCTCCTCATTATGCCCTACAAGGCCATGCATGTTATGGCCCTACAGCCTCATCTAATCCCTCACTTTCTCAGCTATGTGGGCCTCTTACTCACTGCCCACACCTACAACCCCCACTCCATCACAGGACCTTTACCACCCAATTGCCTGTCTGTCTGTCTGAAATGCCTTTCCCTCCATTTTTCACCCATTTAACTCCTACTCATCCTTCAGGCCTCGGCCCCTTCCTGGGGTGGACTGGGTGATGATTCTCTGTCCTCTAAGTCAGATTCCCCCATTATAGCACACGTAGACATAGCATGGCACCTTCCTCCCTTCCTCCGTAGGACTTGTCGCTATTGAACTTCACATTTGTTTGTGTTATTATTTGTTTCTTTCCTTTGGTAGCCATCAGTGCCTACACACATTCTGGCTCTCTCTGCTTCCAGGCACAAGATTCCAGGATTGTACTTCCCTCCCCACTTAGATTAGGTGGGTCGCAGTTCTTGCTTTCGCCAATGGAATGTGAACAGAAGTAGCCTGTTGTCACTTCTTGCCCGAAGGTTTAGGAGCCAGAGCATGCCTCTCTGCATTCTTTTTTCCTTCTGGTGTGGTGACTGGCAACATTCCAGGTGTTCCCAAGTAACTACAATGAGCAGAACCCTCTACTGACCCGTTAGGGACATAAAGTATGAGCAAGTAATAAGCCTTTGTTATTTTAAGCAAGGCATTGATATTTTGTGAGATTTCTTACTGCAGCATAACAAACCTAGTCTATAACGATGGAAGCGATGTCTTTCTCACCAGCAGACTCCAAGTGTGAAGGTAGGAGCTTTATCGTTGAGCTAGGCACATAATAGATGTTCAATAAAATATCTGTTGAATTAATTCTATTAATTCAATTAATGGTCTTATCCCTTAATCTCTTCTCATCTCCCCAAACTTAGTTTCTCTGTATTCATTCATACACTCAATCAACATACATTTCTTCAAAAGGTAATCTCTTCAAAAGGTAATAATCCAAATTAAATGTTCATTGCTAATGGAGGAGTTGACATGAGGTAATACATTCTCTTTCTGTATATACACGTCTCCATTGACCATCAGTGGGTTCCTACTTTGAGCTGTTTTTCTAGAGTGATGATGAGTCTGTTCTAGGGAATCTAGATTCTCATGCCAGATCCCTGTGGCAAAAACCCGACTGGAGCCAGAGGAAGGTACACTTGTCAGTAGCATAGCAAACTGTCTTATACAGGGATTGAGTCCATGAACTTGGCTTCTTTAGCAGCACACAGACCCTAACCAGTCTAAGGCCTACATTGACGAGTTATAGTATAGTAAGTTACAATAATTCACAGCAATAGAAGTTCCTATGTGCGAGATACAAGACACTTTTTTTGTTTTGTTTTGTTAACCCTGACCCAAGGATATTTTTCCCATTGATTTTTAGAGAGAGAGGGAGAGAGAAGAGGGAAGGGAGAGAGAGAGAAAGAGAGAGAAGCATTGATGTGAGAGAGACACATCGACTGGTTGCCTCCCACATGACACAGGCCAGGACTACAACCCAGGTACGTGCCCTTGACCAGGAATCGAACCCGTGACCCTTCGGTGTACAGGGTGACGCTCTAACCACTGAGCAGCAATGGCCAAGGCACAAGAGACATTTTCTGTGCAGTGGTTGCAGACTCAGTCATCTGCATTAAAGTGTGAAATCTGGGGTCCTGAGGACTCCAAGCAACAGGGAAGTTTCTCTATCAACCTCTAGGCTCCATTCACCAAAGGAATTGAGTATGAGGCTAGTCCATGACCGTAAAGCATGTCTGGATGAAGGGTGGCAAAAAACCCCCACTAATACTGTTGGGAGCCTCCATATTAACCCAGTTCTAAAGAGAATGGGTAGAAACAGACCATTTGAGAAAAATTACAAGCAAGAAAATGGTTGGGATCATTGAATATATTTGCACATCAGTCAATTCTGGCTGATTCTCTTACTTGGTTACAGCCAGATACTGAAGAAGTTAAAATTTAATCCCCAAACGGGTATTGCTTTGTCCCACTGCTCCAGACTCTCTAACTTTAATCTGTGTTTGTCTGACACAGTATTTAGTACACATGTGTAAATGGATATGGAACACCCACTTCAAACCACCTGCCCTACTTAGAAAGGGTCAGTAGCAACATCAGTAGAAAATGTGGCCTATTTATTGATACTAACTTAATGGGCATGCAGAGTGACTTGCTGGTGAAAGCTTGAAAGCACACTAACACTCCTTTCTGTCTTTTGTAGTAGCTTACATTTATGGATAGTAGTTTGAAAATGTAACCCTCCATTCAAAAACAAAAGAGAAACCAAAAAAAAAAAAAAAAAGACTTGTGGAATCCATTGCTTTTTAAAAATAATATTTGGTTCTGTTGTGAATGATTGCTTTTTGTGTGTGTGAAAAGCAGGAACCCAATAACTTCACATTATTGCTACTTTCTCCACTTTAATTCCCCCCTGAGAAATGATAACATTAAGTGCTTTTGATGGAAACCCTGGCTAACAATGACATCATCACTTAGTTGTGTTAAGTCTCGTTTTCTTTGCGTTCTCACTTAGTGTTTCTCAATGTATGATCCAGGGAACAAATCCATCAGAATTGTTTATGGTAAATATCTGGAGGTGAGGCCCAGGATTCAGTGTGGTTAGTGAGTTGCCCAGATGATTTTTATGCATAGTAAGTTTTGAGAACTATTGCCTTGTAGGAACCTTCTTTGAAAGTCACAGCCATTTGTTTTGAATAGTAACAAAGAAGAGAAACCATCATCCTACTGCAGGAGGCCACACACCTAACCGAGCTCCCCTTCTGTCCCCACTTCGCTTCCAGTGTTCTCTCTCCACTTTGGAACCAAATGTCCTTGTCAGTACTAGTTCTGATCCTGTTTGGGGGGGGGGCAGTTGGTAAACCCAACTGGTCTACAGTCTCATACTCTGAGTACCATTTCAATGAGAAATAGTGCAAGGGCACTGTTATAACAGTGGTGAGGGCTGTGGCCTAGATTTCTAGTTGAGGCTCCAGCTGAAATAGGGGCTCTGTGTGTACCATGAAGCCTACATGTAACTGTTATTTTCCTTGTCTAGGTTACTTTTGTGGACAGTATTGTGAAACAGGTGGTGAAGGGGCTTTCAGCTTCATTTCAGCTGGTAGGTCCCAGCCAAGCAGTGCTGTTGTACCAGCAGTTTTACATCCTCAGGAGCTGCCTGCAGTACAGCAAGCCTTTAGCCGAGTACATTAGGAATAACTACAGAGAAGAATTCAGGTGAGGAGTCTGAATCTAATCTGCAGTAAAATCCATTCACTTCTAATCTTCTTGCAAAACTGCAACACGGCCAAGTGTTTGGAAGATTAAGTGGCAATGGGAAATTCTACTTTTATTTTTAATAATACTTCTCTTTGATCTGTGGTAAGGTAGGATTTGGGAGAACTCTAAGAACCACGGCCATTTGAAATATATTCCCAGGCCAGAAAAGACTGGGGAAACATCAAAGTCTCTTTGAAGAACTGTTTCTCACTCATTGTCTTCATTGCAGCCAGTGTCTCGAGGAAGTTGCCATGATTTTAACATGCTGTGAGAATTAAGAGAAGCAAACCCTGCTGAAGGGGATGAAAAATTATGGATTGTGGATTCAGCTGAGTCATTGGGGGGAAACTGATAAAGGAGAGACAAATTAATGAATGCAATTATTAGTTTTCTTTTGTTTCACTTACCCCTCTTACTCTCAGTAACAACGCAGTGAGAAAGAGCAGTAGGAGCAAGCACTGGTTTCATCAGCCAGCTGGTTCTGCACCTCAGGGGTTCCCACTTCTATTTATAGGCTGGCCCAGTCAAGTGCACTTAGCTGTACAGCCCTGCATCAGCACCTATCAAGGAAAAATACCAGGTTGTGTCTGACGTAAGAGGAAAAGGGTGCAGCTGGCACAGCTTTGGTACCAGTTTGCATGGAGGCATAAAATGATGTGCAGATGTACCTTATGGCCTTAGACTGGCTTTCCAAAAGCTTTAGTCCAGTTTGTGGATCCTGTGTTTTCTCCATGTGGTTTTACAATATAGGGTCCACTCTGGCTCCTATAAAGGGTTTTGTTTGGCCCGTTCTGAGTTGGTCCACACACCCAATTTTTTCTTCACTTTTTTTTTTTTTTTAGGTAAAATTCATATATCACGAAATTCACCATTTTAAACATTTTAAAGTGTGCAATTCAGTGGCTTTTAATACATTTTGCAATGTTGTGCAACCAGAACCACTAATTAGAGTACCTTAGATAGAAACCTGGTATCCATGAAGCACCCCCAAAGAAACCTGGTATCCATGAAACAGGCATACCTTTCTATCTCTGTGGACTTGCCTGTTCTGGACATTTCATGTCAATGGCCTCACACAATATATCATCTTTAGTGTCTGGCTTCTTGCACTGTTTTCAAGGTTCACTCATGTTGTAGCATGTATCACATAACCCAATTTAAAAAGAATTACTTATGCACATTTAAAAATCAGGAGGACTGGCAAAAATGACATCATACTTCTCCATGACAATAGTTGGCTGAAGCTCAATAGCAGCTGCAGTCTTAGGTGATAACATACTGTTGAATCGGCCACTGTCTCCTCTCTCTATTCTTACTCTTTCCTTTACTCCTCATATGTTACCTGTGGGCATTTAGGTTTGTGACCCTTGTTTTAAACTAGTGATTTTCAGAATGCTGTGCATTAGAGTCACCAGAGAAACTATTAAAAAAGACATACCCAGGTCCCATATGTAGACATTCTATTGTTTTTCTGAGGTGGGGTCTGGGCATAGATATAAAAAAAACAACAAAAGAGCCCTGGCTGGTTTGGCTCAGCGGTTAGAGCGCCAGCCTGCGGTCCGGAGAGACCCGGGTTCGGTTCCCGCTAAGGGCATGTACCTCGGTTGCAGTTTGTCCCTGGCCCTGGTTGGTCGTGTGGGTGGCAGCCACTTGATGTGTCCCTTTCACATTGATGTTTCTCTCTCTCTCTCTCCCTCCCACTCTATCTGTATAAAAAATGGAAAAATGTCCTCGGGTGAGGATAAAACAAAACAAAACAAACAAACAAAAACTTCTCCAGGTAATTCTAATGTGCACCCAGGGTAGAGAACCAGTTTTTTTTAAAGCCATCCCAGGGAATGGCTAAACGTTTTGTCACTTTTGTCTATTCCCCTGGCCTGTATTATATTTTGACCGGGCCATGGAGATGAACCCTTCTCTCTTGACTTGCCCCTCGTGGTCACCACAGCTCTGTCTCTTCCGTTTCCACTCCACTCTGTAAATTGCCTGGGAAAACCAGAAGCAGGGGCCTCCGCCCACACTGTGGTGAGGACAGCCCGGCTTCCTGATTCATGCTTTCATGACTGATGCATTATTAATGAAATTCACTTCCTTGGCTGAAGTAAAGTGCTTCAGTGAGCTGAACGGCACATACATCAGAGCTCTTCTAGGTCACCAATGGGGGAGGTTGCAGGGCCAAGGATGCGGGCTGTCTTGTGGTTGAGACTCCCATACCCGACAGCCCTACGCCAGTGAATGTGTACATGCTGATGTGACCAGTGTGCAAATTCTGGTTTTTAAAGCTCTCTGTTTCGTTTCTCTTTATGACTGCAGGTACTTCATTCACATGCCTGCCTTGGAAAAACGGCTCCCATTGTGTTACCCCATCACCCAGCCTACCACTCAGCTTTTTCGTGAAGTTCTGAAATTGGTTGAACAGAAACAATGTGTGAAATGTTAAACACTGAGTATAAAATGTTAATTGGAGGTCAACATAATATTTGTGAAAAACATTTATTTATGAAGTACCTAGCTATCTCCGTGTCCTAGAAACAAAGATCTATTTGAATGTTCCATCAATCCCTAAGAGAAGTCTTTCAAGTTTTATATCTGTCACAAATTTTTTTTTTATATATTGACATACACAAAGTGGTGCTAAAAACTGGTGCTTCTCTTTTAAAAAGTTTCTAAGGCAAAAAACTATAAAGGGAACGGAAGCCTGTGGAGAGCAAATGGAGACAGCACAGCTTGGTGTGTTTTGTTGGTTGACCATGGTGGGCGGTGGGGAGCCACCGATGTCCAAAGGTAAACTTGTGGAGTACACATGACAAAGTGATGACAGAGGAATGCTGAGCAACAGGACGCACTCTCACTCCCCGCCTGTAACACTCCAGTGACATAGGTATTCATGGAGGAATGAGCAAAAGCACGCAGCACAAGGATGGCAGCTCCTCCTTCATCGTGGAGAAAGGAGCTCGGACTGTCTTCAACAAAATTAAATGCGTTGCCACTCTGTTTCAGGCACCTGTGTGCTAATGTGAGCCATCTTGTAGAGTCTCTATGAAAGGGAAATTGTCTATAAGCAGTTATGCTCTCCCAACCATTAAAAAAAAAAAAGGTATTGCCCTGGCCAGTTTGGCTCAGCGGTTAGAGTGTCGGCCCACGGACCAATGAGTCGCAGGTTCAATCCTGGTCAAGGGCACATACCTCGGTTGCGGTTTGTCCCTCGCCCTGGTCAGGGTTGTGTGGGAGGCAACCAGTCAATGTGTCCCTCTCACATCAATGTTTCTCTCTCCCTATCTCTCCCTCCCACTCTATCTGAAGACAAATAGAAAAATATCCTCAGGTGAGGATTAAAAAAAAAAGGTCTTGCCCTGGTCAGTTTGGTTCAGCAGTTAGAGCATTGGCCTGCAGACCTTAGGGTCTTGGGTTCGATTTCTGGTCAAGGGCATGTACCTGGGTTGCAGGTTCGAACCCTGGCCCCTGTCAGGGTTGTGCGAGAGGCAACCATGATAGATGTGTCTGTCATGATATCACATCGATATTTCTCTCTCTCTCCCTGCCTCCCTCCCTTCCACTCTATCTAAAAATCAATGGAAAAATCTTGGGTGAAGACTAACCAAAAAAAAGTCTTCACTATATCTTATGGTAATAAACTAACGTAATCCAACAAAAACTTAACTTTGGTTTCACTGTGAGCTATTACTGAATTTGGGCTTCTAAGAATTTAGGAACTGGACCCACTATTCAAATTAGCATGACCTGAGGGAGTGTCAGAGAGAAATCCACCTCCAAAGAAAGAGCTCCCAAGCCAGATCTGCCTGTGCTGTGCAGTAGTGACAATTAAGCTCACTCAGGACATCTTAGTTTTGGTTCTACCTGAGCCATTAACCAGCTATTTTGACCTTGAGCAAGTCAGGTACCCTTTCCAGGCCTCCTCTGCTATATGGAAGGGTGGGAATAGAAGTTCTCCAAGTTCTCTCCCAGCTCTGATATTCTCAGCTTGACACTCTTAAAACTTCTTAACACTGTGTAACAGAGTAGTGCATTCCTCTGCCATCCTGGCTCAGTGGATGAGTTCACACTGATTCCAAATAATCCTGCTTTCTTTAGACCAAACATTTCCCTTTCAGCTGTCACCAACATCATGCTGCAAAGTGTCCAACCCTTCTCCACCATCATCCATCGAGGACTTGAAGTCTTCTACTCTCCAATCTAGGGGCAGAAAGGGGAACAAAATGGTGTTTATGAGTGTTCTGGGCTATTAGATGGGGAATTATTCCCAAGAGATGGTCAATCAGAAGAATATGAAAATATTCTTGGGACACAGGCAAGCAACACTTCAAACTGGACAAATGATGGACAGTGGGTTGACAGCTGGTAAGTGGTGGAACCTACAGAATGAGAGAGAGAGTAGACAATGAGAGAATCAACTCAGCTCTGCCTCAGCTTCTAAGCAGTGCCCTGGCTCTGGGCTATAGCAGTGCAGGCTCTAGAGAGGGCTTGGGGTTTCTCACCTGTGTGCCTTTTGTCTGTGTTGCCTCTTCTCTCCCACTGCTGTTTGCTCTGAGGACAACCTTACCTAATCTCTGGGGCAAAAGCTCTTTCAGATGTACCCGAATCTTTCTATGTCAGTAGCTCTTTTGGTTGAATATTTGTCACCTTGATTTTCTTATGACACATGTCTATTCATCTGTACAGTCTAGGGGTTGGGGAGGGAAGCCCAGAAATTAATATTTTGAAAGGTTATCATGTCACACTTATTTTCTGCTGTTTTTATATTGTTGCCAAAACCAAGAAAATCACTAAATAATCCATCTCTATTACTGATCAGACACATATGATTAAACACTGACCTCAACGACAAAATAATTATTTTTCAGAAAACCTAATTGTAGAAAAATTTTGAATATAAAAATCACAAGTAACAAAGGATCACCAAAAAAGATAAGCACATTTAGCCAGTTTTCAGTCTGGGTTCAAGATTGTGGACTCTGACCACCTTTATAATACAAGCACTGCCATTTACCACACCCTCTCTGAGTACAGTCACTCACAGTAGTCAGCTCTATCATTAAAAACAAACGTGTGTGTGTGTGTGTGTGTGTGTGTGTGTGTATTAGAGGGTAAGAGAATGGGTGTTGTGAGGCCAAAATGGTTGAGTTTAAATCTCAGCGCTGTACTAGTTTTGGACCTTGGGAAGTTACTTAACATCTCTAAGTTTCAGTCAATAGAAAGATAACCTATCCTATAGGGTTGTTAGGAGATTTAAATGAAAAGGTTGCTAACCACACAGTATGGTATCTGGCGTGTAGTAAAGAATCAGTAAGTGGTATTCATTATTATGATTATTATGGTAACACCAAAGCTGGCTGAGAAATTAGAGGTTAATAAGTACTGCCTCTATTTTGGGGGGGACCAATCTGGGGACTCAGAGAATCCTTGATCTCTAAAGCACTGAAGAACAGATTCATTCAGTTATTAAATGGAAAATCCAATTTTCCATTAGCAGGAGTATTATTTAATTGACAAGTGACTATTTCTACTGCTCACCACCATGAAGGACTGTTGGCTCTAATTGACACTATCAATGCAAAAGCTGTGTGGGAAATATTTTTCCCGAGGGTAGACAGAAAGCTTTTTACTCATGCAAACATTTTTCAGCCTTTGACTTGAACTGCTGATTACTAACTGATCAAATTGATGCGATGTAGCCATTCTGTACTTACAGAGTTCATAATTGATTCACAGGTAGTATGAGAGCAAATAACTGAAGAGTTTCTTCATTTTACTGAAATCTAGATAATCTAGAGACTATGTAGTGAGGGAAAAGCTTGATGTTCCTATAATTGATAATCATATTTTACATATTTCCATGGGACTCTCACTGGTAGTACCACTTTCAATTGTGTGTAGGAATGCTTGAGAGTACAGTAATAAATGTGCTATAAGGTGTTTGATAAAAGTGGTCAAAGCTTGTTAACAGTGATAGGCTCTAGCCTGTGGCATTATCTTTCTTTTTTCTGAGGCTAGAATCACATTTTTTATTTAATATGTGTGATAAATATGGAAGAGAAGGTGGACATTTCTTTTAAAAAAATTTTTTTATTTTTCAATTATAGTTGACATACACTATTATATTAGTTTCAGGTGTACACCTCAGTGATTATATTATATAACTTACTAAGTTAAGTGATCATCCTGATAAATCTCATATCCATCTGACACCATACATAGTTATTAGAATATTACTGACTATATTCCCTATGCTGTACTTTACAACTCTATGACTAGCTGGGCTGGTGTGGCTCAGTGGTTGAGTGTCGACCCGTGCACCAAGAGGTCACCAGTTTGATTCCCAGTCAGGGCACATGCCCAGGTTGTGGGCCTAATCCCCAGTTGGGGCGTGCAGGAGGCAGCCAAACGAAGTTCTCTCTCATTGATGTTTCTATCTCTCTCTCCCTCTCCTTTCCTCCCTCCCTCTCTCTAAAAAAAATCAATAAAAAAATATATCCCATGACTATAACTATTCTGTAACAAGCAATTTGTACTTCTCTTTTTTAAAATTAATTAATTTATTTTATTAATTAATTTTTGTTACAGATGTTTCTCCTTCCCCCCCCCACTGATTCCCCCCTCCCCCTCCCTCCCTGCCCTGTCACCAGTTTGTTGTCCATGTCCACTGTTCATGAATACATGCATATAAGTTCTGTGGTTTATCTCTCCCCCACCACTCCCCTCTTTAGGGGATTGTCAGTCTGTACCCTGCTTCCGCGTCTCTGGGACTACCCCATTCCTCAGACTGTTATGTTCATTATATTCCACAGCAATTTGTACTTCTCAATCCCTTCATCTTTTTCACCCATCATCCTAACCCCCCTCCCATCAAAATGTTCTCTGTATCTATGAGTCTGTTTCTGTTCTGATTGTTCATTTATTTTTCTTTTTTAGATTCAATTGTTGCTAGATATGTATTTATTACCTTTCTATTGTCCATATTTTTAAAATAATTTTTTCTTCTTTTTAAAGAAGACCCTTTAACATTTCATGTAATACTGGTCTGGTGGTGATGAACTCCTTCTTGTCTGGAATCTCTTTATATGCCCTTTGATTCTAATGATTGTTTTGCTGGGTAGAGTAATCTTGGTTGTAGGTCCTTGCTTTGCATCACTTTGAATATTTCTTGCCAATCCCTCTGGCCTGCAAAGTTTCTGTTGAGAAATAAGCTGACAGTCTTATGGGAGCTCCCTTGTAGGTAAATAACTGCTTTTCTCTTGATGCTTTGAGGATTCTCTCTTGGTCTTTAACCTTTTGTATTTTAATTATGATGTGTCTTGCTGTTGGCCTTTTTGGGTTCATCTTGTTTGGGACTCTCTGTGCTTCCTGGATTTTTATGTTTATTTTCTTTGCCAGTTTAGGGAAATTTTGTCATTAATTTTTCAAATAGGTTTTCAATTTCTTGCTCTCACTTATCCTTCTGGCACCCCCATGATGTGAATGTTGGTATGCCTGAAGTTGTCTCAGAGGGTCCTTACACTATCTTCATATTTTGGGATTCTTTTTTCTTTTTGCTGTTCTGATTGGGTGTTTTTTG